TCATGTTAGACATTTTTGGTGAGAACACTACTGTGGAGTGTGTCAGGAGGCATGTGATGCCAGTACTAACTCCATACTAACTCCCACGGCTTGGTCAAGGTGATGGTCTCCATCTCCCTATGTTGGAAAGGGCAAGCTCTACCTCTTTTTTTTTTTTTTTTCTTTTTAGAGACAAGAGTCTCACTTTATTGCCCTTGGTAGAGTGCTATGGCATCACAGCTCACAGCAACCTCCAGCTCTTGGGCTTAGGCGATTCTCTTGCCTCAGCCTCCTGAGTAACTGGGACTACAGGTGCCTGCCACAATGCCCAACTATTTTGTTGTTGCAGTTTGGCTGGGGCTGGGTTCGAACCCCCACCCTTGGTATATGGAGCTGGTGCCCTACTCCCTGAGCCTCAGGCACCACCCAATCTCTCCCCCTCAGTAATGTCTATGGGGTGATACTTTGAGATATACTTGAATTTACTATTAAAATATTTGATATTCAAATATATCTCAAATCATATTTATATTTGAATATAAAAATCCTATTCTCTGATAAAAATTTACCCTATTATTTCTGCATCAGTTGATCCCCTGCTGAATGATTGATTTTGCTGGTGGTCACAAAGTGCTGGGTTTTCTAATTATCATTCCTCATGCGTGTTTTAATTGGCACTCTTTTGTGAAAAAGAGCTTCTGTTACACTCCAATTTTTACTGTCACTTTGGATCTTTTTTAATTTTTTTTTTTACTTTTTGTATTACCCATAGGTGTATATATATATATTTTTCTTTTTAAGTTTGATGTGTTGTAGTCCATACCTTCTTTTTTTCCTGTTGATGCTCAGATTGTTTCTGGCTGGCCAGTAGAGGCTCCTCTAACCTGCTCCCGGTTAAATGTCCCCTTCTTTCTTTAAGTACTTCTTTCTTTTGGCACAATAACATATTCCAGGTTCATCTTGTTTTTTCCCCATCCCATCCCAGATCCAGATGCCAGGTATGCTTCGAGGCTCTTTCAGTGGGCAGAGGGAGGAGGCACCTGGGCCTTGTTTTTCCCGCCTGCCTGTCTCTCCTCACCGCTTCTAACCTGACACTGCAGGGTTTTCTCCTGCCTTTCCCGTTCCATCTTGGCATCTCCCTTCTCCCAAAGCCAGAACCCCGAGTCTCTGTCATGTCAACAGATCACTATTCATCTATTCTCTATAAAAATACGTATTAAAAACTTCCAGAGTAAACTATACCCGTGCACTTCAACAACACTTACTATATAACATTTACACTTTTTGTATAGTACCTTTTATTCTTAGATTAACCTTTATTAAAAAGTATGGTGGTCAGATCACTGTGTTCAAAAATTTCTTGAATTAAATGTCTTTTTCTCTATTTGCTTTATTAATTGGATATATAAATAGGATTGTTTCCGTTTGCATTCTTTTAGGGCCTGTCTTCGTGTTTTTTTGGAGTTTCTTTTTATATTAAAATACTTCTATGAAACTAAAAACATCATAGGTAACATTAACAAGAAATCGGACATACATCTGAATTTCTGCTTCTTTTCCCTTCTCCAGGGATACATGCTAATGGCTTAGCAAGTATC